TTAATGACACCACTTTTCTGGGGAATCGCTGCGCAAGGGAAGGGGGGATAATAATACCATTTGGATTCTCTACCTTCTCCTTACTTTGATGGTCTTTTCTGGAAGTCACACGTGCAAGAGATTTTAGCGGTGTTCTTTTCTGTTCTGAGAATTTTCCGTAGGCCTTTCATCTCCCTCTTTTCTCGGTGTCTAAGGCTGCTTATCTTTGCACCTAGTTTTTTGAGGTATGTACAGCCACCCAAATTTCTCTGTCTCTAGTTAGCTCCCTCCTCCCTGCTTTGTTAGGAACTATCTCCTGCGCATTACTTCCCCAGCCACCACCTAAATTATTCCCTCTGAACTTTCCCCTTCTTCACTCCTCCACAAACTGCTTCAAGTTATCCTTTCCAAATATGCTATTAGCAACATCCCAGAACATACGGCCTGCTTCTCTCACCGCATAAACTGCTTTCAATAAGACTCTCCTCACCCCTCTAAACAAATAACATTCCATAACCCACCTCATCCTAAAATATTGCTTTTCATAACCTCCACCTATTTGCTCCCTTCCTCTCCTCTAAGAAATAAACTGTCTTCAGTATCCCTTCCTATTTGGGCACCAACTACCTCACTGAAACCATAAAATACACACACACACCACACACACACAAAACACACAACCAAGTAATAACCTCCCAAACAAAGAAAAATGACAACACAACCTTTTGCCTCCTCTTTCTCTAAGAAAACACTCATGAGGTATATAAGGACCCATTTGTGTCTCTTTAGGTTTGTTCCCTTGCCCCTACCCCCAGTGAAATAAGCTAAGGAGAAATACAGTAAGGCATTCCAAGGCCAAACACATTCTACTGTTTATTACACATATTACATTCTTAAATAAAAATGCGTCACATAACATTTTTTGCATAGATATCTTACAATATACCAATTTAAAAAAGAATTATGAAACAGACCAGTAACAAAAATAAATTTTTTCTTCATTAATAATTTTGTAACATTAACATACCACCATCATATAATACAAATAATAGTTTTAAATCTTAAGACTTTTGTACAGCAAAAAAACTTGACAAAGTAATATATTTAAAAAGCTTAAAAAAAATAAAATGTCAAAAAAAGGCATAACCGAGGGCTATAAGACTGGGTACTTCTGTGATATATTATAAATACCAGAGAAGGCCTGAGAGAATGTGACCGGGGAGGTGGGGGGAGGGGAGGAGGCTGGGAGTAGGTCTCTCCAAAACACACTTGTTAGACACATCGGGCAAAAAGAAAATGTATAGTGCAAAAATAAATTTCTTCAAGCAACTGTTACGAGGATAACAGAGATTAAAAAAAAAAAAAAAAAAGTGGTGGTGACTAGGAAGTTGTGTGGTGGGAGTGGGGAGGGCGTGACACGGGAGGAGGAGCTTGGGGAAGGGGGACTGTGGAAAGGAACGGGAGGCTCCGAAAACATGAAACATTTATTTTTGCCTCTGTGTTAGTAAGGAGATCTTGGCCATAACAGGTGTATTTTTCCTCCTTGGAATGAAGCAGAAGTGAAAGGTAAGGAAATTAAACTAAGTCTGGGTTTTAGATAGGAAATGCATGCTGGGGAGACAAAAAAAGAATGTTGAGAACCAGCCAACGAGCCCAAAAGCCTTTCAGGACCTAGATGTGCAGAAATCATTCTGCCTCCAGTCCAAAGGCCTAGGAAGGATTAAAATGTCCCCTCTCCCCACCCCGCCCCCTCCCCTCTATGTGGAACTCCCAGTGTGGTCTCAATATACTGGCAATTATAAGCATCCATCCCCCCAAAAGATATTAGGCACTGGTGGCTACTCCTGTTAAACGTCAGTAGCCTGTTTTCCTTCTGTGAAGGTACAATAGGTACATACGCACACATGTCTGGGGGTGTGTGTACATACCACCCTCATTATTCTGACGTGGGGTCCATTTTATGGCAGTAGACAGAAGCTGGAGTCAAAGCGATTTATGTTTCCAAAGCTCACAGTTGAAAAAAATTGTATAAACAGTCCCCAACAAAGAACATATCAACCTTCCCTCACTGCCACTAAGAGGGAGCCCTGTTTGAAAATTGTATCTTGTTTGGGATATTGGTGAACCGACAGCCTAGGATTTCTCTCTCCATTTTTGATACCTGTTTCCCGAGGACTATAGGTATATGCAAAACACCTGAAGAATACAGTACTATATTGGAAGGATGCACGTACGAAAGTTAATTGCAGCGTTTTCCCCCTTTTCCGGGATCCACAGAAATGAACAGAGGAGATTTAAGAGTGTGTTAAAAGCACAAGAGAAAACCCTGAAGCCTCAGGCAGTTAGTCATGGGATGTCACATTATTTACAAGCAATTTTTGCTTCCTTTGACACATTTTTGTTGTTCCATCTCAAGTATTCCCAAAGATCCTCATTGAGGAAAGTAGGCCATCAAAGAGGCATCGATGTGTACCCATGCCAGCCCCTCTAGTTTTCAAACTGAGATATCACCATGTTTACCGAAATTAAACCCAGACACCCAGAATCCAAGTTCTCCCCTCCAGCCCCTGACCCAGCGCTTGGCAGGGGGCCACTTCCGGGCAATGCAAGGGAAAGCTTCCGAAAGTACATTTCAACCAGGTTCTACTCACTGAACTTTCACTTTGGCAAAGATCTGGGTGCAAAACCAGGGCCAGAAAAGCTGGCCCTCATATGATTAAAAACAGAAAGAAAGAAAGAAACAACAAACCTGATTTTTGTAGTTAAAATGTGTTGCATCTCTCTAACTTTCCCTACCTTCTTCTTCCTTCTCCTAAAACCAACTCATGCAAAAGAGAAGACTAATGCACTTCCCATTGTAGTTCACATTTGATCAAGTGACTTCCAGCGAGGAAATAATTTTGAACCATTAAAACTAATTGCCAGGCTTTGCTGTTCTTGTAATTTGAACAAAGCCATTTCTTCTGTCTTTGCCACATAATTCAGGAATAAGGACTATAGGCAGAATGTTCTGAGTATACAGATGGACCGCTCTGAAAGTCTCATTTATTTCTCCTTTGATGCAAACAGACATGGATAATCTGGAAGTTTATCCCCAAACTAAAGTCCTTTAAAAAATCATCTTTGCCTTCTAGATTCAAAGAAGATTTTTTTTTTTTTTTTTAAATAGGAATCAATTCTGCTAATCATGCATGAGGTTGGCTGTCTTTTTACCCTGTTATAATCAGGCAATCAAAGATGTAAGAAGGGTACAAGAGGTGGAGGAGGGGAGGCGATGGCATCAAAAGGAGGGGGATTTGAAGGGCTTTGCAAGGGACAGCACATAGAGAAGAAAATGGTCGGCATGAAGTTCATTTTGGGGTCTCAAATATTTTATAAAATGCAGCTTTGTCATGGAATCCAAACATCTCTTTTTTCTGGACATAATACTCATCACCACCAGGCATTAAGCTGGGCCAATTAACCACGAGTGGGGCAGGAGGCCAGTAGTTATGGGCAGCATTATAATTTCAGGTTTCCACGTCTTTGACTTACAGCCATGTGGTTGGAGAAAAAAGAGTAACTTGAAATAAACAAAATTGTCAATGGCTTAGAAACACTCTTTTTCGACACACCAAACTCTTAACCCTGGGGTAAAAGGTGCTTGAGAGGACAACCACAAGAATCACCATGCCAGGACTTCCCTTTCAAATTTGGGATCCCTTGGAATGTTGGGAGGTAACAATTTAAATGAGCAAGTGACTTGGGTTTCAAATGTCCATGAAAGCACTGTTTTAAATAACCAGTCCTTTGCGGGAGCTAAACATCCTCAGGTTACTCCTTGGAAAGCCCTGTTCACTCAGAGATGATGTCATTTTATCACAAATTCTTTTCCAAGGGAGAAGCAGCTTGGTTAGGACTGGTTATCATTCACAGGTGTCAATCCAGGCTAGAAAAAAACAGTTTCGAAGCCATACCCTTAGCACCCACCAAATTCTCAGGCCGATTCTCACAGTCAGCAAGTGACTCTGAAGCCAGCAAGCACCACCATTAGTGCTCCCTGCTCTGAGGAAGGCCAGGAGCAGATTACAAAGATCTCACTGATACAAAAGAGACAGAAGTTACCAAACATTTCAGACACTGATGACGACCAAAGGGCCTTTGTTCTGCCACATTCAAATGAGATTTTGTCAAGACCCCAGAGGACAACGGGAGCAAACAAGCAATGATTACTCTTTTGCATTATTTTTTTTTTTCAAAAACTTTCCTTTTAATACAGCCTTGCATTGGTCAGTTCAAAAATTAAGTATTATAAACCCTTAATAATAGCATTTCGAGAGGCAAGAGCAGCTCCAGCTTGGGACAGAACATTTGTAAGCCTTGGCAGTCACGGCTAACGCCATCACTGGTGTGTGCGTGCATTCATACTGGAGGCTGCTACAGAAAAGAAAATAAGGGAACCAACAAAATCTAGGGTGTCTAAAGTTTCATCTAGTGCACTGACTGGAGGTGCTACAGTTTAATACAGCTGAGGTTCAAGGTCCCTCCCATATCCTTCATCCAGGAAGGATGTACCACACATTCAAATACAATCCCATGGGACGCCCTGATGGACTGGCCATAAAATGCACTCAAATGCAGTAGAGAACTACAAGATTGTCAGCAAGCAGTGCTCCAGAAATATTTCTAAGTCATGTCTAGTTTTTTTATAATCTTTGGAATAAAACTGATTTTCTTTTAATACCCTCCAACTAACATATGGAAACCCTGGTGGCATAGTGGTTAAGAGCTACAGCTGCTAACCAAAAGGCTGGCAGTTTGAATCCACCAGGCGCTCCTTGGAAACCCTATGGGGCAGTTCTACTCTGTCCTATAGGGTCACTATGAGTCGGAATCGACTCGACGGCAACAGGTCTTTTTTTTTTTTTTTTTAACTAACATATACATAATTGCCTCCAGCATATCGGCAGATTTTATGGGTGTGTTCTAGGGTGGATTATTTTTCCTGGTTTTTTTTTTTTTTTTTTTTTTTTTTTTGGTCTAAATTGACAAAAGAAAACAGAGAAAGAAAATTCTAAGGGCCAGACCTCAAAACGCCCCAAGTGTCCGATTGGCAGCTACAGCATTTGTGATAAAGAGGCTCCTTTACCCTCAGACGAGTAGTTTCAACATTTCAGAGAAACCAAAGTTTGCAGAAAGCCGAAAAACCAAATGCCAAGGATCTTGAAGGTTGCTGTCATATATGGGTTTGTGTTCCTTATATCATGGTTTCCTTTTAAAGACTTCTGTTTTGCATCCCAAATATGTATGGCATTTTAACAGTCAAACAGTCAAAGGAGGGCAGGAGGGGAGCCAGCTGGTATGAAGGAGCAGCAACCATGTGTGGACCAAACGCCATTTTTGATTTTTAGACGTGTCTTGAAGGGATGGTCCCAGAATATAGAAAATATACAATCTGTCCTAATAACCACCCCGCTTGCTTGCATAGGCCATTTAATGGTCCTAAAGGCAGTCTTTGGAGTTGAGGCCAGTGCCAGCTAGCTAAGAATGCGGGTAGATAGATACCGATATTGGGCGGGTGTGTGTGGGATGAAAAGTGAGGAATGTCAACCCCCTTGGAGTAAGCTTGCCGAGTAAATGTGAGGCCTCTGTTGATTCTGGGTGTTTTAAGTCACAAGTCATGGTGGACCTAGCCAAAAAATTTAGAAATATGTCTCTCCTTTTAGACAGACCATGAGAGAAACACCTCAACCCTTTCCTTAGACGTCAACCCTTCGTTCCCACCATGGCATTTTGAGATGTGCATTTTAACAAGTGGGGTAATATGAGCTCAGTGGGTATGAGAGAGGAAGATAGGATGATGTTTTGTGAAGCCCCTAGACTTGGGAGGCATCCTCAGTTTTCCCCACTCCTGGAAAGAGTGATATTTTTGGCTTTTGTCAGGTCATAACCCAAAGTTAAGTTAAATATGCAGCTGCCCTTTGAGACTAGCGACATCTATGCTGTAACTAGTTATAGGGTAGCAATGACACACAACACAGTGGTTGATCACTATGAGCTGAGGTCATCATGCCTCAAGGAGGATGAGAGAACTGTGATGTCCCATCTGATTGGCTGCTTCGAGAGCTGGGCATCCAGGTGCCGAGTTAGTCCTGGAGAGGATTAGTCCATGGAGAAAAGATAAAACATTTAAGCTTCCAAATAAGCTTTTCAAGTTTTCATTAGCAAAAACAGAGAGATTAAAAAGAAAAAATCTAGCACTGGCAATAAGGTGAGGCTCAAGGGATATACTGTGATTTATCAAGGACTTTATTCTCTTGGCCACTTTGCAGTCATGCTAGAAGTTTCCAGAATCCCTAGTGCATATGGTGTGCAAGAGTCAAAAAAGTAAGAAAAGGAAACTCCTCCCTTGAGAGTGAAGTCTAGAGAAATGCAGGCCAGAAAGGTGTAAGGTGTCATTCCAGAGTCTGCCGCCGCTAAGGCCGTTGGTATTGACTCGAAAGATCTCAATAGTGCTAAGAAGAACCAAAACCGATCAAGAGTTCTGTGAGGAAGTCTGACGCACGAAATAGTAGGACTTTTCACACACAAAGGACAAATAAACCAAGAGTTAATTTTGGCTACCAAACTGCAATTTGGTTTTCTAGGTCATTTTCCCCCAACTATTTAAAAAGAAACGTTAGTGCTACACGTATGCAACTTTAAGACGTTGTATTCTCCTATCCAGTTGCACTGAGAAGCAAGTTAAATAAGCCCCTCTTACTGCCGTCCACCTGCAGAGACGTCATATCCATTTCCTTTGATTTCCACTGGCAACAGCGGGAAATAATTCCAATAGTGCTGAAGTAAGCAGCCAGTCTGCCTTGCTGAGTTCACCTGGTTTCCTTCTTTGTCTTCTACCATCTGGCTAGGGCAAGGCATAAAGAATAGACGTATATATTTTAAATATAGTTGAGTGCATGACAGTGTGAATGTGCGTGTGTCTTTGTGTGAGAGTGTGTGTGTATAAACAGAGGTTTATAAGTGAGAACTTTCTTCTGCGAGGCAATGGGTCCCCGCCTGAAGTCCAGCCCCCGCCTCACGGCATTTCCTTCAGACAACAGCCGATGCCATGGCAACTCTGGCCTTTAGGTTTTTAGATATGTCTCTTCATATGGAGGGCAAGGTGATCAGACCTGGAAAAACACCTAGGAAATATAAACAATAAGGACATTAGAGAGCTTCAGGTAAAAGAACTCAACTTCCAATACCCCTGAGAAAATGATCTAAACCAGGTGCAGTCGAATCAATTCTGACTCACGGAGACCCCATGTGTTTCACAGTAGAACTGCGCTACATAGGGTTGTGAGAGCTGTGACCTTTTGTAAGCAGATTTCTGGGCCTTTCTTTCAAAATGCCTTTGGTTGGGTTTAAACCTGCAACCTTTCAGTTAGTAGCCCAGCCCTTAACCGTTTGTACCACCAACCAAAAAAAACCCGTTGACACTGAGTCGATTCCCACTCATAGTGACCCTATAGGACAGAGCAGAACTGCCTCATAGGGTTTCCAAGGAGCACCTGGTGGATTTGAAGTGCCAATCTTTTGGTTAGCAGTTGAATTCTTAACCACTGCACCACCAGGGCTAGAAAATTATCAATCCTACCTTAAAGAGGGACAGTACACATGTACACAGAAACAGTGTGTTGGGAGGAAGGCCAGCTCAGGGGTCAGACTGCCTGGGTTCAAATCCCAGCTCTTCCAATAGCTGTGTGACTCTGTGCATGTTAACCTCTTTGTGCCTTAATTCCTCCTCAGTAAAATGGCACACAGTAAGATCTCAATCAATGTTATTATTATCATGATTGTCATTATTCAAAAAGAAATGAATGTGAAAGTGCTTTGGAAACAACATGTGTCATACCCATATACTGTAAATACAGTAAAAATAATTAGCCTATGTCATGGAAGGTGGAACTCTGAAGTTTCAATATCCAGATTCCAGTCTTGAGCTTTACAATGAAAACCCAGAAATACTGCCTGTAATACCAATAGGCCTACACAGACGCTCTATATTCAAGGCAAGAAAAGGATTGGACGAGGGAGCTCATACTTATTGAGTACATTACAATATGCAGGCACTATGCTTGCTAGTACTTCCCCAATATTACCCTAATAATATCCTCAACAACTGTCTGTGGTAAGTATTCAAATATTCACATCTTGTGTGTGTATGTGTGCATGCGTGTGCACGCACACATCTGAAGGAAACTCAGGCTAGGGCCACAAAGTTAGTGAGTGGCAGACTGGGGAATAGAATCCAGGCAGTTCTGCTGAGCCCACTCTTTTGAACTGTTTCCTGGTCACCACTGAAGGCCTTCCTAAGCCTCAGATTGGATGCAGTGGTTGTCTTCATTCCTTCCTCTTTCCTCTGGTACCAGCAACTTGCTTTTCTCTTGGATGGTAATGCTCCTGTGTTCTCAGGTGTATGGAAGTGACCCTCTTCTTATGACTGAAGTTATGGTCACATGATCTGCTAAGGACAGTCATGTGACCCGTAAAGGCCAATGAGAGCCAGCTCTGGAACATTTGCAGAAACTACTGGGAGAAGCTCTCTTTCCACTGGGGCTGCTAAGCTGCTAAAATACAAGCCTGAAGCTGCTGGTGTCCACATTGCCACTGTGGGAAAGAGCCTACTTGAGAGCAAAGTCAACAGAGAAAAAGCAGAGCCATGAGATGGGGAGAGAAAGAGTCCTGATGGGCACATCTGAGAAACTGGATCCAGCCACGCCTAAAGACAACTCTAATTCTGTTCTTCTTAGTTACCTGAGCTCGATAAATACCCTTTGAAGCTAATACCAGTCTGAGTCAGATTTCTATATCTTAGAACTCATAAGTGGGCTTTTCCATATCGCTGCAGCCTGCAATCTAATGCTCTGGCTAGGATCCCAGTAAAGTCAGCAGGTAAGACAGCAGTTGTTTTTAGCTTTTGGTGCGTGCTCTCTCTCCCTGGATTCTTTTCTTAAAACAGGCCACTTTCCTACCTATGAGAAAGTTCCAGACTCTCCTAAGGCCTAAGACATCCCAACAGTCCAAAACTGCTGTTAGGATGTTAGCAGGCTGCCCTGTTCACAAGTAGCAAGCGTTCCTGTTTGGTGCATTTCCCTGTGTCTGTTCATTCTTAAAACAAACAAGAAACCCACCCTTTCCCCTGTCCCAACATTCTCCACACTCTCTATTCGTGTCCATTTCTTAAATAGGTGCACATGCAGGGTAGAATCCGAAGGAAACGAATTAAACAGAACAAAGGTAAAATGAAAAACACACAAGAATGGGAAAAGTACAACAGAAAACAATCCAATCCAAGAACATGTTGAATAATAACAATTCCAATGATACCCAGTTATTTCAGGTTCTGATTTGCTATGACCATATTTGGATAATCCCTTAAAGTTCCCTCTAAATGAGACTTGATTTGCTATAAAACAGCAATAAATTTTCTTTCAAAGCAAGTACTTCATGTTACTGGTACACAGAAAAAGCAATACAGCCTGCAGGAATTTAGCATTTAACTTGTATAACTGTCCCGCCTGTGAGACACAGCTCAGTATTACCCAGGGCCTGTTCTCTCCTCCCTCCTCTACAGCCCTCCCTTTCTCCCTGCCTCTCTCCCTCCCACCCTCCCTCTCTTTCTCGTCTTTCTTCCTTCATCCCAACAGCCTAGGGAAAGAAGATCCAAGTTGGGATTTTTTTTTTTTTTTTTTTGTAGGTGTTCCTTTTTTATAGGTCCTTACAAGGACCCCATAAAGAAGGTTTCATTCTTATCCCCACCACCAAATGAGACCTTCATTAGAAAAATCTAAGCCAAGATTTAAACCCAGGCAGTCTGGCTCCATGGGAGAAAGATGTGGCTGTCTGCCCCCGTAAAGATTACAGCCTTGGAAACCCTATGTGGCGTTCTATTCTGTCCTATAGGGTCGCTATGAGTCAGAATCAACTTGATGGCAGTATCTTTGGGTTTTGTTTTGTTTTTGTTTTTGTTTTTTTGATAGTCTGACTCCAGAGTCCCTGAGTGGTGTAAACAGTTACCACGCCCAGGTGCTAACTAAAAGGTGAGAGGTTCAAGTTCATCCAGAGGTGCCTCAGAAGAAAGGCCTGATGATCTCATTCCAAAAAAGAGCCATTGAAAACCTATGGAGCACAGAGCTACTCTGGCACACATGGGGTTGCCATGAGTCTGAGTTGACTCAATGGCAACTAGTGGTATCGGCAGTTTGACTCCAGAACCCATGCTTTCAGCCACACGTGCTTTTTAGGCTGAGAAAATGGGAGAGCTGAGCTGTCAATTTAAGGAAGGTGTGGTAGGCAGAATAACGACCCCTCAAAATGTTGATATTCTAACCCCCAGCACCTTGAATATGTTAGGTTATTACCTGCAAAGGGGAATTAAGGTTGCAGATGGAGCCTTGATTGCACAATGGTTAAGTGCTCTGCTGCTAACTGAAAGGTTGGTGGTTCGAACCCACCAGCCACTCTGTGATTACAGCCTAGGAAACCCTATAGGGCAGTTCTACTCTGTCCTACAGGGTCTCTATGAGTTAGAACGACTCAATGGCATACAATAACAATCGCCTGATAGGAAAAAGCATAGGGAGATAGGATGATTATTCTGGAATATCTGGGTGGGCCCAATGTAATCACAAGAGTCCTTGAAAATGGAAGAGGGAATTGAAAGAGAGATCCAGAGAGATGGCAGTGTGAGAAGGACTTGGCCTGAAATTGCTGGCTTTGAAGATGGAGGCAGAGGGCCATGAGCCAAGGAATGCAGATGGCCTCTGGAAGCTGTTTCCAGGGCAAGGAAACGGATTGTCCCCTAGGGCCTCCAGAAACAAACGCAGTCTTGCTGACTCCTTGATTTTAGCTCAGTGAGACCCATGTTGAAATTCTAACCTACAGACTGGTAAGATAATAAATTTGTGTTGTTTTAGCCCACTAAATTTGCAGTAATTAGTTATGGCAGCAAATAGAAAACTAACACAGAGGTTAATCTGGTCAGGTGTGGCAGTAAGGACCTGTGAGAAAGCAACAAGGTGGGCACCAAGAATCCTGCCTGCCCAAAGGAGGAAAGCAGGTATTTGAGATGGTGAGAAGAGGGGAGGCCCTAGCAGTTCACAATTACCCTTTTTGTTCCCTTCTACATACTAGGAACCCTGGTGGTGTAGTGGTTAAGAGCTATAGCTGCTAACCAAAAGGTTGGCAGTTTGAATCCACCAGGCATTCCTTGGAAGCCCTATGGGGCAGTTCTACTCTGTCCTTCAGACTCCAACTATGAGTTGGAATGGACTTGATGGCAATGGGGTTTTTTTTTTTTTTTTTAATCTATCTATCTATCTATCTATCTACTAGGAACTTACAGGAAAACAGTATGCTCGATACAGAACTTCATTTTAAACAACCCTTCAGTATTACAGTAAGACCTGCAAAAGCCAGAAGTGTTTAAGAGAAGGAAAATTCAAATATTTTCCACTAAATAGAAAGCAACAGAAAAGTGGTAAGACTGCACCCTGTTAAAGGCAGAAAACTTGCGAAACCCGGAAAAACACGGTATTCCCATCAAGTTCCTGCTTTTACAGGTTTCACTGTATATGTGTTCCAGATTTACTCTGCCTTTGCCAATTGCTGACTTTGGGTTAAGTATCTGGTAATACATGCACAAGGCTCTGCCTTTACCATTTACGTCCTTTTAGGAAAAAAAAAATGAAAAAACAAATCAAATCTTTAATATGGTATGAAATGTAATTGCACCCCTGCTGGATCAAACTAGCATCATTATTCATTCAAATTCTAGGAAGTTATGATGCTTAGAATTAGACTAGGTCCCTCAACATTGAGGTTTTTATTTAAATTCAATACACCAGCAAGATACTCGGTCATAATTAATTTATATTTATTAATTTATACTTACTGAGCTCCACATAGGAGCAGTAAAGGGTAATAGACAAACTCAGCATCTAGAAATGCAGAATCGAATTATTCTAAGGGTAATATACCCCTAGGGGGTCTTTATAACTATACAGCAGTGAGATGACCTTAAATAAGAAGGTTCGTCATGATTGAAATTGGTGGATTAAGAGAACTAGCGACACCCCCACATCACTTCTCATGCTTATGAAAAAAGCACACTACAGTCACGTGGGTATTAAGGCATATGACTGTTAACATCAACAGCAATCTTCCAGGGGACAAAAGGACTACTAGATACTGGTGAGTATTTCTTACCACTTGTAAGTGGGCTGACTTAAAGAACAAAATGCCCTCCTTTTCCTCTAAGCTGCCCAAGATCTTGCATGCCACCACCCCAGTAGCAGCCACCTGGTTTATAGCTGAGCTGAGTTGGTAAAACAATGGCCATTACCATGAAAACAACACCCCTATTTGCCACCATCAGCAGCCTCATGGGCTAAGAGAGAATACTCATGCCTCTAGCAGCTGGTCATTTAGTGGGCTGGTAAGGAAATGGCATAGTCACCTCATCGCCTTCTCCCCCAACTCAATCCTGAAGCCAGAGGTCACAAAACCCAACATCTATCTGCAGGTTCCGGGCAGGAAAGTAAATGCGTGCAGCGGGCCAAGTGTAAGAAACACACAGCATTTTCTGATTATCTGTTTCCACTTTTGATAAGGCAAGAATATAAAGAGATATTGTTCTTCTATAAGAGGAAACAACAGAGCAAGTATGATGATACATAACAGCTGACGGTCTACCATCGTGTTGGCGAAACCATAGGGAGTGGTGGGAACAGTGGGAAATTAGCGATCACATGGCCATCGAAAATGGGTTGTGATTGCTGTTGAGCTCCACTAAATTATGGCCATGTGGGAATGTGAGCCCACAGTTGCCAGATCTAATTTTTCCAGACAAATCCAGACTTTTATGTAACATCTAACAGTTTTAAAACTTGACCTCCCTCCCCCCCAAAAAAAACCTCATGTATTTTTTTAACTACTGTGTAAGCAAAATAAAAGTATAAGTTAGACTTGGTACATGCTTAAAGTATGTAGATTGGCCTAGATTGGGCTCTAAATAGGGTAGTCTGAATGCTTGAGTTTAAAGAGACAAGAAGTAGGTTTCTTGCGCTCATACACGTATGGTGCCAATAGGACACAGTGTCCTGCTAAGGACTACAGATGTCCTCTGTTTCTAAAGGTAAGTCTTCTAAGGAATGCCAACTCCCCATTCGCCCCAGGCTCTCCTTTCATGTGCTTTGGGGCCACTCCAATTCCTGATGCCACTTCCCAGATCTGCTCTATTCTTAGCACAATTGCTGCAATTGAAGCACAAGGTGCTATCTGTCACAAGACACTAGTGAGAGTCCAACGCTTCCTTTCCAGCATTGTTGAAAATGCACTATTGACTCTGCCTCAGGAATGTGATCTACTCACAATCACTGCAAGTACCATGTCACTGAATTTGTACCATTTGCTCAGCACATCTGTAGCTCCAGACACCAAAGTATATTTTAATGAAGAAAATAAAGCAAAAGACTACCAAATCACCCATCTCTGCCGGCCTTTTCACTGAAATATCTAGTAGGTTTGAAATATTTCTCCATATAAGTAATGCAGATTTAATCCTAATATACCTCCTGCTAGAAGGTGGTAAATTCCTCAATATGTCAGATGGTTTGAAGAGAGGCGTACTAACTCTGGCAATTTCCCCCATAAGAATTCTTTGTCCATTTCTAAGGATTATGGCAACCCATAATCTCAATGTAATACCTTTACCACCCTTCAGAGGTGGATGACTTTTCCTATTTTAAAAAAAAAAAATTAACAGACTTTATTGTTTAGAGCCATTTTAGGTTTATAAAAAAATTGAGCAGAAAGTACAGAGAGTTCCTATATACTCCCTTTCCCCATGCCCACATTTTCCCCAATTACTAACATCTGCAGCTGTGCATACCTACTGTGCATACCATCATACTTTGACAATTCACAGAGCATATATCTTGGTCTGAGTTGATATAAGGGAATGCTCACCTTCCAAGGGCTGTGGGCAGAGAGTCACCATATGTGTGGCTTCTTTATTAGTGGCCAGGGCTAGAGAGGAGTGAACCAGGAAAACTTGATATGGGAGTTGAGGGAAGATGTCAAGTAAAGACTCCTTGCATGGTACATATGGTTAAAGTGTTCTCAGCTGCTAACCAAAAGTTTGGAGGTTTGAGTCCGCCCAGAGGCACCTCCAAAGAAAGGCCTGGCAATCTACTTGCAAAAAATCAGTCACTGAAAACCCTATGGAGCACAGTTCTACTCTGATACACATGGGGTCACCATGAGTTGGAGTCAACTTGATGGCAACTGGTTTTTTACTGAAACATAATCTGTAGAAGACTAGCTGTAGATCCAGGTAGAATCAAGAGACTTCCAGGTAATGGGATTGGAATAAAGAAGGGAGCTGTGCTCCTGGGGTAGCTCAGCAGAGCTCCAAGAGAAGGAGAGACAATAGCTTCATGAAGCCACTTCCTCAGCCCTGGGGTGGGAGGTTATCTCTGAGCTCCAGGAGGCATGGGTCTTTATTTAGTTCTCAAAGAATGAAGATAAGAGGAAAATAGCCTCTTCAGGAAGAAGAAAAAAATAAAAGAGGAAAAACATAAATGCTTCTTTATAAGCATCTCCGTGGCAGCCAAGACAACTCAGTGCCCAGGGACTTGGCCACTCCTGCCCTGCTCTCCAAACACACACTCCTCTGGGGAGGACGGCAAGGAAGGACTGGAGAGCGCGATGCGGGGACACCTGGACCAGGGGTGGCAGGATGCAAAGCAATCACGTTTCCTCCCCACACAGCCAGACCTCTGCTGACATCCTGCACACCCCCTCTGCCACCCTGCGAGCTGCTGGCCAAGCCGTGGAACCCTGAGGCTTTCAGGGGCTTTTATCGTATTAGAAGCATTTTTCTCATCATAACTGAGACCTTTAGTATTGCATTAAAAAGATGGTTAATTTTCTTAAGCTTCCTTTTAAATACAAAAATAGGATTAGAAGGATAACACGCTCAGATGTAAGCCCATTATTTGATTATGTCTAAACCTAATCCTGCCTTCACCTTGGCCTGCACAGTCTCCATTTTGGGGTTTATTGGTTGATAATGCCAGGGCTGTCAGATACTATTACTTGGGTAGTATCTGTTGCTACACGTTCTTTCTTCCAATCTCAAATGTTGAAAGTTTGAAATTGAATTATAGGATACGTTCTCAAAATCTTGCCGTCTTTTAGACCTTTGTACCTATTTTCAAGGGGGAAAGAACGGCTCTGACCTCCAAAGAATGGGAACTCTTCGAGTAACATTCAGAGAAAAGCCACGTAACTAACCCTTCCTTCTGCTAAGCCAGCTTTCTATTTTTTCGTCCTATTAAGGCTGAGGGCAAGTGGCATTGATATTAATAAAAAGATCAGAAGCAGCAGCTACAGGTGACCCTTTCCTGTTCTCTTTTCACAATATACTAATTTGGAGTCTCTGGGTGGTGCAAATGGTTAGCATGCTTGGCTGCTAACTGTAAAGGTTGGAGGTTCGAGTCCACCCAGAAGTGCCTTGGAAGAAAGGCCTGGTGATCTACTTCAGAAAAATCAGCCATTGAAAACCCTATGGAGTGCAGTCCTACTCTGACACGCGTGGGGTCACTATGAGTCAGAATCGACTCCATGGCAACTGGATTGTTTTTGTTTGTTTGTTTGTTTTAATCTGTGGCAGTCATCTCCTTGAGGATAGGAGCTATGTCTTTGTGATTCTTGTATCCCAGTAACTAACACAGTTCCTAGCCCAAAGCTAGTGCTCAGTAAATACTTGTGTGACTAAAGCAAGGATTCATATCCCCTCTTGATTACATGAAAGGGGAGCGCCCTCATCTCATTGGATCTCTCAGTGGAGAAGTAAAAGGCATTCCCAGGACTGTGTATCTGTGGGAGAGGCTTGTGATAATTAACTCCAAGAGCACATGGACAGTCCAACCACCAACCCACTTCACCAGCGCCCCTCCCCATCCCAGCAGCTAACACTCTTTACCTGTCGCAGTGGTTGCATTTAAAGGGCTTTGCACCTGTGTGTTTCCTGTAGTGCCTCGTGAGTTCATCGCTTCGTGCAAAACGCCACTCACAGCCTTCCCACGAGCACTTGTAAGGCTTCTCACCTACAAGAAGAGATGGAATGACTGGTCAGCAACGAGAACAAAATGGTCGCACACCTGACAGGGTTCTGCTGCCCGGTGGCTGGTCTTGGAAGAGGGTTGTATAAAGCATTCTTAAAAGACTAAATTTCCTGGCAGACACACATCACTTTTTAGTCTCCTGTTGTTTTGTTTTTTTTCCTTCAAAAGTGGTTTCGCCAGATCCTCAGACCTGGAGTTGTCATTTCAGTTCCCAGAGTCCGAGCATTTCCTTCAACGACTGAGGGATCAATTTGTATTTATTTTCTAATCCCTGGAGGACTTTGGCCCCCACAGTACAAGCAGAAAGGAAATGTGCTATTTTCGTCTGAAGCACAAATGCTTCTAATTCTATTTTTCTCCAGAACCTACAATAATTTACCATTTCAGGCTTTTTAGTCTCCTCTCTCCCCTTGCCTCCTACCAAGAATTGTCGCCAGGTAGCTGACTGACACATTCCTGCCAGTAAATGTGAGAGGATGGACAGTCACGAGAAGGGACTACGGTGTGAGGGAGATGAAAACAAAAATCATTTGAGGATTCCTGGCATTTATGTAACATGCTGCACAAAAATCCTATTTAGGATGCCCATAACTTAATGACTGTAGAGTGTTCATATGAGAGATACGTTATTGCAAAATATTTTTAAAGTCAATTTGTAGAGCAAGGTTTTAGCCACAATGAAGCTGCTTGTAAGCATGAAATTCGAGCACTTGTACTCAAGTGAGCTTTTCATGCAGTAAATACAGATGGGGGAATATGTAAGAGAAAGTATAAGATTTTTCTTTAGACCTTTTTTTAACCCATCACGTCTGTCACCAAACATGACAAATATTTACCCTTCCAACTGCACGGTGGTCTGATTCTAATTAAGAGTAAAAATAATCTTTGTAACCCTATGAAATTACAGAATTCCTGAACCCCATAACTGAAAAGCAGGTTAGCAAACAGTAGTCAAAAGCTTGGAAGCCACTTTCCTGGGCTCAGTTTCCATTTCTTCCCTGAATTGTCTAACCTTGGACAAGTTAATAAATCTCTCTGGACCTCTTTTTTCTTATCTCTAAAATAGAGATGATAATAGTATGTACCACATAGGGTTTGGAGAGGATAAATTAATATTATGTACATATTATATATTAAAGGAGCCCTGATGGTGGAAACGCTTCAGTGCTCTACTGCTAACTGAAAGGTTGGCGGTTCGAACCCACTCAGAAACTCTGCAAGAGAAAGACCTGGCGATCTGCTTCCATAAATATTACAGCCAAGAAAATTTTATGGGGCAGTTCTACTCTGTTGCATGGGGTTGCTATGAGTCAAAATTGACTCAAAGGTACCTAACAACAACAATATTATAGATTAATAGAATGGTGCTTAGCACATATAAGATACACCTACCTGGTAAATATTATAACTATCATCATCGTCAGAGCCCTGGTAGTGCAATGGTTAACCACTCGGCTGCTATCCGAAAGATCAGCGGTTCGAACCCACCAGCGGCTCCGCAGGAGAAAGACCTGCCAATCTGCTCCCATAAAGATTACAGCCTAGGAAACCCTGTGGGGGCAGTTCTACTCTGTCCTATAGGGTTGCTATGAGTTGGAATCGACTTGACAGAACACAGTAACAACAACATCATCATCAGTTTCTACCAAACTGCTAACCCCAGGATTTCCGGACACATAGGGTGCCAAATATTTATTCCTCTTAAGGTAAAACTGGTTGGCCCATTATTTCTCCATTTTTTTAACTTTCACGCAGCAGCACATGAGGAGACATGGCCCAGATACTATACTTGACCTACTTTCTTCTTTCCACCTTTTTCCTTCCCTTGAAACCTGACTACAAAGCATTTACAATTCTTTATTTGTATCACCTAGAATCAAACCAAACATGATTGAAAATTTTATTTCATTAAATTGGTGCCCTAGTGAGCCACTGCTCTGTAAGACCCGTAGAGAAGAGGAATGAGAAATACAGGTATTCTTTTTCCAGGGAACCAAGAGGACATGAAGGAGGACTGGCCGCACAGGAGGACACCGCTTTCGTTTTGGAAACTAGGAAAAAAATGAATCACTGAGCAGTGATAAAAGTTCACCTTCTGAATCCTTAAAACCAAACTTTTAGAAAAGATGCTTCTGCTAAAGAGAAGGGAACAGAGTGGGGGGTGCCCCCTACATAAATGTTAAAGTCAGCACACCTAGGTTCTCTCTGAGTTAATTACAGACTCAAGGCCTCAGCACTCGCATCTGTTAAATGGGAATGAGCTGCCCATGTTTATTCCAAGGTTTAAAGAAGCCATCATGGATAGGACACGTTTCCTGAGCCTGCTACACAGTAAGCACACAAATAATTTGAATTCCCTTTCCTTCTCCCACCCCCTGGGCTTGCAGGGGCTGCTGAGGACACAGGTCTAATTGGCGACAACAAAAACTTGCAAAGTTCACTGCTTCTGACAACCAAGTTTGAAGTCACTGTAGGCAACTGAAATGTTGGAAAACAAGAGTCTTTTTAAGTTTTAAATGTTTCTCAGTATGTTGTTGTGTGCCATCGAGTCGATTCCAACTCATAGCAACCCTATAAGACAGAGTAGAACTGCCCCATAGGGTTTCCTAGGCTGAAATCTTCATGGGAGCAGATCACCAGGTCTTTTCTCCATGGAGTAGCAGCGGTGGGTTCAAACCACCAACTGTTCGGTTAGCAGCCGAGTGCTTAACCATTCCACTACCAGGACTCTTTTTTCTCAGTATAGTGATGGAGAATGCATGAGAAAAGCTGAATACTCTTTAGGTCTGCTCTGGTTGAGTGGGATACTGAAAAGAAATAGGAGACCTGGTTGGAAAGAGATGTGCCCTCTGGGAGAGGCACGTTGGCAATTGACACCATTTACTCAATGCTATTGATCATCCACAACGCTCTGTTTCTCCAAGTGGAAAGCAGGCACCACACAAAAAAGAAGAATGGGGCACCTAAGACACTGGACTTCAGAAATTCAAAATGCCCTCCACCCCCGAAGGCCTTCAATGCAAGTAAAAGAGAAGGTTCCTGAGAGCCTTGGGAACCAAACACACCCCACATGCAACAAGGCAACTAGGAAATCCCAGAAATTCTACAGCAACAAGCAGAGAAACCCAGTCCCCAAAATCAATCCTGCAATCTAACTGACCCGTCCATCGCAGGCAACCACATTCTGAAGGGCACAGGAGGGAGAGAAAATAAAGGAGATTAAAGTGGACGTCTTTGAGCACTTTTTCATCTCAAACTGTCTGCTTTTCCCCTTGCTGATTTTTTTTTTTTTTTTACTAGCATTGTTTTGTTTCATTTTGACAAATAATGTCAAGGATTTAGTTATTTTTCAGCAAATGATAGAGACCCTTAGTTAATTCCTGGCACAAATTAGCTATCCTATCCACTAGCTAAGGAGCCCTGGTTGGCTAATCACTCAGCTGCTAACTGAAAGGATGGCAGTTTGAACACACCAGTTGCTCCACAGAGGAAAAGACCTGGCAATCTTCTTCTGTTAAGGATCATTCAGCCTAGGAAACCCAATGGGGGAAGTTCTGCTCTGTCACAGAGGGTTGTGATGAGTTGGAGTCGACTCAACCACACACAACAATAACATCCAGTAGCTACTCCTGTGTCCTTTCAGTGGCTGTGTTGCCAAAGACAACCAGGCTCCTGTTGCCACTACGTAGACAGAAAGCTCGGGCTCTGTTTTCTGCTTCCAGCTAGGTGCTACACAGAATAACGCAAAGGGCAGGCCCCTTGGAGCCCTGATGACATTTTAGCCAAGTTATATCTTAGTGATTCATCAAGCTATTTTTTTTTTTAAGTGTCTGATTTAGTTTACCTACAACTTGCCATTTCTGCAAATAATCACGAACAAGAAATTAAAAATAACCAAGAAGAACTCAGCCAAATGAAGGAGCAGTTACCCAAACAGGCAGAAGTCAGAAATCAAAGGAGCAGAAAAAACATGTAGAATTAGGAATATGACTTCACATTTAGGACACGGGGACAGTGAGGTTAGGCTGGCAGCTTCCAAAAACCAATTTCTTCTCACAAGGCAGGTCTTCTGTCAGCACTGTCAGCCTGGCCAAGACTTTATCTCCGTCAACAACCACAATCCACTTCTTGACTTGGCAGGTGAACCCACCTATAGTCACAATGCATTCATTTTCATCCTAGCAGCCTATCTGAAGATTTCTGCTTGGGTCCCTCAAAAAAAAAAAGGTACTTCAGTTATAACTGGACCAGAGTCTCTCTCACCATCCTTTCTCTTTCACCCTCCTTCCTCTCTTTCCTCCACTCTAGATACCCCTCCTGGGTATTAGAAACAAAGCAGAAAGGGTCGTACCCTGGCATAACACTATGCTATACCCATATCTGGAACAACGCATATCATTAGCTTGCTGCACCTCAACAGTGAACACAAATGTTCTCGAGTGGTCTATTTGAGACAAGCAGATGGGAGAAAGAAAGGCTTAAAACATTAGGACTCAGGAGAAAAGACTAAAGAATATGACATATATAATTTGGCAACCACACCAGCAATGACCAAAAAACAAGTGTATAGTCACATATGTATGTGTATAGATGTAAAGGTATAAGGGTAGGCACAGGTTTATACATAAGTGTTCACAGATAGAAGTATCTATATGTACATGTAAGTACAGATATGTGTGTGCAGGCACATATATTCATAAAAAAAAGTTACAGACATTTCTCAGACATAACCAAACACCTTGCAGGGTTGGTTTTCTAGGTTTGAAGGCTCAGGACCTTAACCTCATGGAATAAGTCAGTCAATTGGCATAATATAGTTCACAAAGTTCATGTTCTGCATCCTAGTGAAGTAAGTAGTGTGTGGGGTCTTAAACGCTTGTGAACAGCCATCTAAGATACAACTATTGGTCTATATTTGTCAGGAGCAAAAGAGTAAGAAGGTAAACAAAACCACAGAGAAGAAACAAGTTTCAAGTGTGATA